TAGGGAAGCAGGGTGTTTACCAACTCAGAGCTCCCTCAGCCTTGAGACTGGGACAAAGAGTCCAGAGCCATGAATGTGGTCTTTATTGGTGTGGCCACAGAGCCTCTATGTTCTTCCCCCCAAAGCCCCTCGCTAGCCTTTGAGAAGTTCCGATCAAATGGGAACTTTCAGGGTATAATTATAGCATTGCCTTTGTGGAGAGAGAGAAAAGAAATGATTAAAATGCTATTTTACAAAATCCTTTGGTTTTTGTCGCTGTTGTTGTTTTAAAGCTCTCATTGTGTGGGCAAGAAAGAAAGAAGTCCATCAGTGTGTCCATTGTGCTGTCTAGACACCCCAACAAAAGGCGTAGCGTGCTTCCCATTGGGGCAGCCCGGCTCCTGTGGACAGAAGCAAGAGTTTGGAGGCCAGCTTCAAAGAAGGCCTTTCTGAGGACCGAGATCTTAGAGCAGCCCTATATTTAGCCTTTTGTCAGCGTTTCTGTCATCAATTCACTTAAGTGGTGGTAATTTCCAGCTTGGCCGCAGCCAGAGGGTTAGTAGAGTGGCTGTTAGAAGCAAATTACTTGGACAAATTAGGGGGAAAAGAAATCAATTTAGCCCTTTTTGATGACAACACTGAGAATGTCGCCAATATCTACATATTAAATTTCTAATTAATAACCGTTTGGACTGGACCTGGGATTTCACTGGCATGGGGAACTCCCGGAAGAGGAAATGCCTTCTACCAGTTATACTGGCCATGATGTTCTCTGTGACTCTGAATCTTGGCTCAGAGGTTTATCATGGAGTTCCACAGAGAGATTCCAGGGCCTTGAGGAATTTGGGTGGAAAAAATTACATCTGTATGTCAATATAATGGGTTTCCTTTGTAATTCTATTATATTCTCTTGTACATTTGATAAATACAAATGAGAAAAGTTCCTTGCCTTCAAGGAACTTACAATCTAATGGGTGAAGCCAACACACAAAATGAAAAAAAAAGGGGTGGCGAGTTTTGTTCCACTCTCCAGTCCTCCATCCCTCCAGCCCTCCATTCAAAGGGGCCCAGGCTACTACTGAGGGTGCTAAGGTTGAAACAATCTGCATGAAGGAGTTTCCTGCTTGTCCTCTGGGTGAGAGAGTGATGATGGTGGAGTGGTCTCCTAAGAGTACAGCTAATAGGAAAGGAAACCTGTACAGAAAAGATGAGAAGTTCATTAACTTGCTCAGGGTCACACAGTCAAGATGTACTGCAGGCTGGACTTGAACCCAGGTCTTTTCAGCTGGTTCTCAATTCACTGAACTGGCCCCTTTGGCAGTCCAGTGAAGCCTATGGACACCTTCTAAGAACAATGGATTTCAAAGGAAACTAAATATATTAAAATATAGTTATTAAAATATACTTTTAAAAATAATTTTATGAGGGTCAGGTAGATGGAATAGTGGATACAGCACTGGCCCTGGAGTCAGGAGGACCTGAGTTCAAATCCAGCCTCAGACACTTGACACTTAATATTTGTGTGACCCTGGGCAAGTCATTTAACCTCGATTGCCTCACTAAAAAAATAATAAAAATAAAAATAACTTTAGGGACCCCAGGTAAAGAAACCACGTACTCTGCAAAGGTTCACCTCAGAGTTATCACCACTGTTAACTTCCTCGGCATTTCTAACACTTGAGAATTGTTTTCTTGAGCCTCAAAAACGTGGGTGGGGTAGGTGCTCCTATTAATCTCGTCTTACGCAGGATGAAACTAGACTTGGAAACATCCGGTGACTTATATAGGGTCACTTGGCTAATAAGTGTCTGAGGCAGGATTCGAATCCAGTCCGTCTCGATTCCACCCTATCTGTGCCCATGCTGAGGACATTTAGGGAGCCCTGGCTTCTGGGAGAGGGAAAAAAGACGAAGCTTCTGGGGAGTTATTTAGATCACTTGGAGCAGGGCATTTACCTGCTCTGTTCCAGTAAAATGCCTTGAGGACAGGCCCTGTTTTCACTTTGTAATTTAACACAATGCCTGGCAGGTAGTTGTTTGCTATTCTCTCCTTTTATTCATGGGTCAGAATCCCCGTGACCCCATTTGGGGTTTTCTTGACCAAGGTAATAGAATTATTTGCCATTTCCTTCTCCAGCTCACTTTACGGATGAGGAGACTGAGGCAAATAGGGTTAAGTGACTTGCCCAGAGTCACACAGCTAGCAAGGGTCTGAGGTCAGATTTGAACTCAGGTCTTCCTGACTCCAGGTCCAGCACTCTATCCACTGAACCACCTAGCTGCCCTGTTCAGTAAAATAGTAGGATTCAAAATAAATATGCAAAAATTGTCAGCATTTCATTTCCAAATAGTGTCGAATTCCAAAGAATCAAGGGATCTTCTGATTAAACAATTCTATAAAGTTTACTATTATAAGGAGATAATTTAAATAAGTGTCTCTGGGGCTCTTTGTGAATTTTGTAGACTGATCCCCAAACCCTTCATAACATGTTTTTCTTTCCAGTATTTCTTGCCACTGCAGTGAACGATGTTGTAAGATGCTACAAAATCACGTCCGGAACCGTGTACTCTCCATGTCTCTCCTTGTGTGGCTTTCTTGTATTTTATAATACCTTCTGATCTGATCTAACTGCCTTTGATTTTACTTCGTGTGTGTGTGTGTGTGTGTGTGTTTGTGTGTGTGTGTATGTGTGTGTGTATTATACACAGAGTGATTAGGTGGCACAGTGGATAGAGTGCCAGGCCTGGAGTCAGGAAGACTCATCTTCCTGAGTTCAAATGTGGCCTCCGACACCCTCCTAGCTGTGTGACTCTGGCCAAGACACTTAACCCTGTTTGCCTCAGTTTCTTTATCTGTAAAATGAGATGGAAAAGGAAATGGCAAACCACTTTATCATCTCTGCTAAGAAAATCCCAAAAGGGGTCACAGGGAGTCAGACACAACTGAAAAACAATAAAAAAAATATATTATACATATATGTAAACATGCATACACGTTATATGGAAGTTACTTGTGACCAAAGATCTTTGGCCAACAAAAGGTGAATTCTGTTGATTCAACAGTTTACCTAGTTGCTTATAATAGAAATGTTCGGGACAAACTTAAAATATCAACATAAAATTTGTTTCTTCTATTTACAATAATAGAAAATCAAGAGAAAATGATAGAGAAATATAATATATAATAACAATAAAATAAATACCTGGAAGTCAAGCTACTAGAACACACTGAAGACATATAAATACAATTGTAAAATGCCCTTTACATATTAAAGGTAGATAGGGATATTTATTGCTCATGGTTGGGTCACATGACTACTAATATAATAAAAATGAAAAATGACAATACTACCTAAATTAATTTGCATGTTTAGTGCTACACAAATTGAACTGCCAGGGAGGACTTTACAAAATTAGACAAAATTATAACAAAGTGTATTTGGAAAGGGGGAAAATGGTCTAGAATCTAGAAATAATGGAGGGGAGTGGGGGAGTAGGAACAGTGTGGGGATTTCCAGAACTCAAATTATATTATAAAATAATAATCACAAAATCTATTTGGTATACTTTAAAAATAGAAAAATAGATCAATGTAACAGACTAGATAATCAAAAATTGGAAACAACCACACTCAGTACCCCAATGTTCAATAAAGCGTAGTACATGAAGTACTTGTGCAGGAACGCTTTAATTTGACAAAATCTTCTCAGCAATCTGGAAAGCAATTTGGCCAAAAAAAAAAAAAGGTTTGGAAGAGCATCTTATTTGTGATTTAGTCAGCATAATTAATACATTCTAAGTGAGTACTTAAATATAAAAGGTCATATTATTTTTAAAATTTGAGAAAAATGCATGGAGATATTGTTCCCAACTGGGATATAATAATAATTATTATTATATATTATATTAAAATATATAAATAATATATTTATTTATAAAAATAAATATAAACATAAATAAAATATATAAATATAATAATAATAATAGGGAGATAATTTCTAATCAAACAAGAGGCAACTACAAAAGAAAAAAGAAAAAAAACATGCAAAATTAAAAAGCTTTTACAAAAATAAAACCAATGCAGCCAGGACAAGAAGAGAAAGGGTGGGTGAGAAATCTTCACATCCAATATTTCTACTCTGGTTTCATATATATTCTCTATAGGAAATTGAACCAAATATCCAAGGCCACAAGTCATTCCCCAATAGATAAACGACCTAGAACAGCAGTTCTTAAACTTTTTGGTCTTAGGATCCCTTTACAATCTTATATACAAATGCATATATACATATGTACATATATCCATACAAATTAGCATTTTAGAAATTAAAGTGTTTTCCTATTATGAAAATAGTTTTGACTTCATGAAACTCCTGAAAGGATCTTGGTGACCCCGAGGGATCATTGGACCATACATTGAGAACCGCTGGTCTAGGACGTGAACAAAAAGATCTCGAATTAAGAATTACAAACTATTAGCAACCATATGAAAAATTGCTCCAAATCACTAATAATAAGCAAAATAGAAATTAAAACTCTTTTAAAGTTTCATCTCACAATCAATCAGGCAAACATTCATGAAGGACCTACTATATCAGACCCTGTAATTAGCTCACACACACTGAATTCACAAAGATGACAGAACATGGGAATAGTCAGTGCTGGGGTGGGGAATATTGCATGTGGTTTCAGACATGGCTCATATGTCAGCTGGTTTTGCTGAACTTTATTTTTCTTGTCTAACCTTTGTTACAGGGGAGGGAAGAGAGAAGAGGGTTTCTGTTCTGTTTTGTTTTGTTTCTTCCAGACATGAATGAAATGTAAAAACAAAAACAACTTTTTTTAAAAATTATGAAATTAAAAAATAAAGAGGTCAGAAACATAATGAACCAACTGACTTTAAAAAAATTTTTTAAACCCAAACTCATCCAAGTCAGAATGTTCTTACTTGCAAAATATCTTCCTCTGATTATGATCGTTTGGAACAAAAGCCCACTTTGTTCTGTGTTTATTATTTAACAGGAGGCAATGGCAAGGATGGGAAAAGTTGGGAAAGTTGTATTCCCCAACCCTGAGGAGAAGAGGTAACAACTGTCTTTCCATGTGTCTTGGGCTTGGGAATCTCTATCCTTTCCAGAGTGGTCATACTGACTATTCACAAGAGAGTGATTCAATGCCTGTTTTGCACATGGCACTGTGCTAGGCATGGCAGGTCCTGCCCTTGGGGAGCTCATAGTCTACCAGAGGGGGAGGAATAAAACATGGACACATACTTTTAGCGCAAAGATAAGAGCGTATTGGAACAAAAGAGAAAAGGCAATAAATCAGAAAAATTTTAAGAAGGCAATTCCAGCTGTGGGAATCAGCAGGAGGATTTATAAAGGCTCTGGAACAGGAGTTGGGGGGACCTGGGTTCCTTAAGTGCAGCCCTTTGGCTACATATGGCCTTGAGGCAAAAGGTTTCCCATCCCTGCTCTGGAACATGAACTGATAGGCTAAGACAAGTAGAGAGACATAGAGAACATTCAGGACATGGGAGAAATTGTTCCAAATGCTCAGTTTCATGGAAAGAACCCTGAATTTGCATTTATAGGGTCAGATGATCATAGATTTAGAGCCGAAAGGGCCATTAGAGATGTTTTAGTCTAACCTTCTTTTGAAAAATAAGGAAATTGAGGCCCAAGATTTATTTATCAATTTGCCCATAGTTCCAAAAGTGGGAAGTTCTGAGGTGGAATTTGAACCTGGGTCTTCCTGACTCCAAGTCAAGCACTCTTGTTTTGTTACTTTAATAATGTTAATAATAATAAAAATAGTTTGTATTTACATAGCCCTTTAAGGCTTCAAGGCATTTTACATGTTATATCATTCAATCTGTGACACCATTTGGGTTTTTCTCGGCAAAGATACTAGATTGGTTTTCCATTTCTTTCTCTAGTTCATTTTACAGATGAGGAAACTGAGGCAAACAGGGTGAAGTGACTTGACCAGGGTCACCCAGCTAGTGAGGGTCTGAAGCCAGATTTGAACTCAAGAAAATGAGTCTTCCTGACTCCAGGCCCTGCACTTTATGCACTATGGCTCCACCTAGCTGCCCCTAGATGACCTCTAAGGTCCCTTTTCTCTCTAAATAAATGATTCATGATTAGCATTATCTATAGATTTCTGGGATCCGATTGGTGAGAATTCGCCAATGAGAGACCAAAGGAAAGAGTGAACACTCATCTCTGTTTTTATCCGGTTGGTAACCAGAACTTTCCTATGAACTGGCTGATTAACTTTACTTTGAAGCTGTAAGCCCAAGAATGCGTTAGGGCTGTGGTTTTAGGAAAGTGTTTTAGATTTGGGATTAAACACATGTTCAAAGTAAGCTTGGCACAGAAAGAAAAAACATTCAATTTTGGAGTGGTATCCGAGAATCAATCAAGAATCCCCCAAATCCTGGAGCCAAAAGGAATAGTTAAAGTCTGCAAACGCTATCCTATATGAAGCGTGACTTCCCTTAATAGAAATGCAGAGGGAAGGTCATTGATACTTGAACACATCTGATCATGGGGAACTCACTACTTCCCCAGGAATGGCACTTGGGCTAGCTCCATCAGGAAGCATTGCCCTGTACTATGTTCTCCCTCAAGAGCAGTGATTGCAAAGCTGGCAACGTACTAGATTTAGAAAAGGAAGCCTAGATTCAAATCCCAGCTCTGATTCTTGCCAACAGGAGCTTTTATAGGAATGTCTTTCTACCTCTCAGGGTCTCTTTTTCTTCATCTGTAAAATGGGGATAAGTTACAACTGCAATAACCATCTACCAGGAAAGGTGAGGAAAACGCTTTATAAACCTTAATGCCCCATAGGGAGGGGGAACCCCCTTTAGGTGTGTGTGTGTCTCCATATATGTATATAAAAGAGAATATTAGACACTAGTAGATATCATATTTATTGCTATCAATGTAGATATTATATACACATACTATATAATATACTTAATATATACTATACATATATACACACACATATGTGTATATTTATGTGTGTACACATACGTGTAGCTAGGTGGTGTGGTAGATAGATGTCAGACCTGGGGTCACCTAGACTTGAGTTTGAATTCAGACTTAGATATTTACTAGCTGTGTGACCCTGGGCAAGTCATTTATTTGCTGTCTGCCTCAGTTTCCCCTTCAATAAAAGTGGGGGGAAATAACTGTATCTGCTTCCCAGGTTTGTTGTGAGGATCAAATGAGATCGTATTTATAAAGCGCTTTGAAAACCTTAAAACATTAGAGAAATGCTGGCTATTCCTATATCCCCTGCTGAACTCTAATTCATATTTAGAAAATGCTTTCAGGTGTGCAGAACACTTGCTTCAAAGCAACCCTGGGAGGCAGTCAGCCTAGAGTCTGAGAGAATAGCCCCTGGGGGCTGCAGACCCCCACCCAGTTCATTATGTGCACAGGCAGGCTAAACCAGATTGAGGATAACTGGCAGGTTTCAAACCTGTTGGTGAGTTGGGGGGATGTCTACCCCAGGATTTGAAGACTTCCTCTGGTAGAATGGACAGATGAGAACAATTTGCTCCAAAGGCCATGAAGGCAGCTGAAGCAGGCATTGTGGAACGCTCAGAGCTTGGTGAGACATCAAAGATGCCAAGGTCATCCATTGCATCGCGGGCCATCACCAGTCATCTTGACTCTTGTCCTACCACTGGACTCTGATGACTCTGGAGGCTGATGGCTTTGCACAACTCTACCTCACTTCAATCCAATTCACACGTGAGTCAAGATATCACCCTTGTGATGTCATTGGTCTCCTTCGAATACAAAGGATAGATAAAAACAGGAGACAATCAGGGAAAGGATTGTCACCATCCATTTGCAGATGGGGACATAGAACTCAGGGAAGGGAAAGGATTTGTTCTGAGCAGGGGTAGGATTCCAACCCAAACTTTCTCGGGCTGTTACACATGACTCGCCTCCACACACCCCACAGTCCAGCCATCCTGGCCTACACACACGACATTCCATCTCCTGTCCTGGGTCTTTGCATTGGTCATCCCTGAGGCATAGAATGTTCTCCCTCCTCATCTCAACCTGTTGGTAGCCCTACTTTCTTTCAAGATACAGTTCAAAGACACACCTTCTGCATGAAGATTTTCCAGATCCCACTCCCCAGCTATTTCTTCCTTCTTTCAAAAAATTACTTTATATTTAGTATAAATAACTATATGTACATACATTAAATATGCATACATAATATGTATAATATATTAGATAATATGTGTATACATGCACACATATATACATATGTAGGAATATATTGTGTATATATATATATATATATATGTATGTAAGTATGGAGAGGGAGAGACAAAGACAGAGAGAGAGAACATTACTACGCTCTCTCCATGTAGAGATATATGATACATCAATATCTATCTATGTATATGTTCACATATACACACATACATGTTATCTCCACCAACAGAAAATAAGCTCCTTGAGGGCAGGGCTTACCTCACTGGTGCCTTTGTTTCCCCAAAGCCTAGCATGGTCCCAAGAGCAAAGCAGTTGATTAATAAAAGCTTGTTAATTGATTCATTCTAGCCCAAAGGTGTATATGGTCTCACCCATCCCCAGCTGAGAGCTTCTCCTCTTCTTTTGGTGGCTTCTCAAAGAAACCAGGAATGCTAAGCAAAAGGCAATCCAAAAAGCCCTGGCTCTGATGTGGAGGGCCCTAATAATGTCATCCCTGACCTTGTGACCTCGGGCCAGTCCCATCACCTCCCTTGGCCACAGTTTCCTCCTCTATAAAATAAGGGACTTGGATGAAATGGCTTCTGAAGTCCTATGATTCTATGACCTTGAGCTTTTATTTATTTAATGTCTTGGATATCTAGAGAAAACTGTTAGCTTAAGTGGATACCAGACCATTGAATATTCAGTCAATCAATCACCAAGCATTTACTCAGCATCTACCATGTGCCGGGTACTGCGCTTGGTGCTAGAGATACAGATCTTTGATTCTATGCTATCTAATGCTTCCTTCATCTCTACTTTTCACATAATTCCGTAAATATGATTAAACAGGCCATGAAATTGCACAAGAAGTGTTGGGGCGCCATCTTCAGGCATGTTGCATGTCTTGCAAGGAAAGGAAAATGATCTCTTTTGAGTGATGAAAAGGTCTCTATGGAGAGTATCATCCTCTTCCGAGGGGACAGAAATCAGGTCAGAGATGATTGATTGGGAGCTAGTGGGGACTTGAGTGGCCACAGACTCCAAAGCCCTCAGGTTACGGCTGAAACTCAGGGAAAGGAGTGAATTGCCCAACGTGACCCAAGCAATAAGCATCAGAGATAGAATTTGGACCCCAGTCCTCGGCCTCAAGAGCCTCTGCTCTGACACACACACGTAGGAAATATTGAGTTTGGAAGAAAGCTTAGAATGGGTGGGTTTTATTTTCAGTTTAAAAATATCAGTAGACACCTATCTTCTCAGTAGTGGGTAGCCTGTGGGTCAGACATTTTCTTTAGTACTCAAAAAGATGTCATCAGTGCAGATGCCAATCCCCAGCTGTCCAGAGGACAAGTCCTCAGTGCCTTCCCAGAGTCTTGGTGAAATCCTATGAGCAATCAACAAGTGTTTCTTAAGCTCCACCGCAGACCAGTTAATGGTGCTGGGCTCTGTTAACACAAGGACAGAGGATGAAAGACACCTTCCTTGAAAGAAGCTTCCATTCAAATGGGAGAGACTTTAGTGGAAGAATCAAACATCTGAAAGCCTAAGTTCTCTTCCTCATCTGACTGTAAAGGTCAGTTTACCCCTTTGTGCCTCAGTTTTCTATATGTGGTGCCCATTCAAGGGCATCGTAAGGGTAAGGTAGACACAATTAATGGCAGCAAGCTACAGTGGATAGAACATTGGAATTGGAATCCTGGAGGGTTCAAATTCTATCTCCGACACTTAATAGCTGGGTGACCCTAATGAAGTCACTTAGCCTCTCTGTGCCTCAGTTTCCTCATCTGTAAAATCAGGGAGCTGGACTCAATGACTTCTATGATCCCTTCCAGCTTATGATCCTATGTGAAAGGACTTTGAGAACATTGAAAAGATGGTGGCAGATATACCTCAGGTGAACTGTTAGTTCATCAAAGCTGGGTGACGTGCCACCAAGGATCAGAATATCAGATGCCAGATTAATGCAGTCAGCATGCTTGTCTTCTTCCCAGAGGCCCCCAAGGGGAGTAAAGCTCAGTTGGCTTTTGTTCATGGAAGTGTCTTCTCTCAATCTCTTCTCACTCCAGTCCAGCACTTTGACATCTCACCATCTGAGAGGTTTCAAACCACTTGTTTATTCCCTGTCTGCACTTGTCCTCTCTGGCCATGAGCATCTTTTTGCCATATGGGTCTGACCAGCTTTGTGCTCATAGACAATAACATACCCTACTTTGGATATGTGTCCTTGACCACCGGGGCTTTCAAATTCCCTGGTTATTATCAAGCCTGAACTTGACACCATTTCTCCGATTATCTGACCTGAATTCAATGCTGCTTGCTGTTCAATCTGTCCCATTCCCATCAGCGAGGCTCTCTGACTGGACACCTAATTAATCATTTCATTTAATGTGTGAAACTCATATTCTCATGTTATTTCAGAAAAAAATATATTGTGTTAAGATTTTTCTTTTTATTAGATAATTGCCACATTTTCTCATTTTTTCTTTGATTTTATATTTATAGGAGTTTTAAGTCTTTGAGTCTAGGAATACAAATTATACAGTATTAATATCTTTTAAAAATATTTCAATCTTAAAATGTACATTAAAGTGTTATCAGTATTGGGATAGGAACTGAAGCTAGGGTTTCATTAGTATAGGAAACTTCCAGATGAGAAAATTCCCTCTACTAATACAGGTCAGCACAATATCTGGAGCTTAGAGTCTTAAAGAATTACCTTGGGGCAGCTAGATGGCGCAGTGGATAGAGCACTGGCCCTGGATTCAGTTCAAATGTGATCTCAGACACACAATACTCACTAACTGTGTGACCCAGGGCAAATCACTTAACTCCAGTTGCCTACTAAATAAATAAATAAATAATAAAGAAAGAAAAAATAAAGAAAGAATTACTTAGAGAACTGGGAAGTTCAGTGACTTAGGTAGGAACACACAGTCAGTAAGTGTCAGATGAGGTTCTAAAGCCAGCCAGCTTTCTACCCAAGACTGTCTTTGGGATCATGACAGCAGACAAATAAAATGAGAAACCAGTAGAGTTTTTTGCATTTTGAAATGTTGGCTATTGCATGTAATATTGGGAGAGGCTCCCATGACTGGATCTCCCTCCTTCCTTGTCTCTACCTCCTATATCCCTGGGCTTCTTTCAAGGCTCAGTGAAAGTGACACCTTCCTTCTTTCCCAGCCCTCCTTGATCTCAGAGCCTTCCCTCTGAGATGACCTCCAATTTACCCTGTAGGTATCTTGTTTGTACAGAGCTGTTTTCATATGGAGCCCCTTGAGGACAGGGGCCATCTGCTGTCTTTCTTTGTATCCTCAGGGCTCATCAAAGTGCCCGGCACATAGTAGGAGCTTCATAAATGCTTATTGAATGACTGACCTAGTGTAGTGGATATAGAGCCAGCTTTGGAGTCAGGAAGACTTTTATTATACACTTACTGTTTGCCAGGCACTGCGCTGAGTCTTGAGAATACAAAGAAAGGCAAAAGACAGTCCCTTTAATCAAGGGGCTCGCAGTCTAATGGGAAAGACAACATGCAAACAACTCTGGACAAACAAGAATACGCAGATGAATTGGGGATGGGGGAATCAACAGAAAGAAGGCTCTAGAATTAGGGGGAACCAAGAAATGCTTCTTGGAGAAGGTCTTAACCTCCTGTTGCAGAGTTTGCCCATTGGGACAAGACTCTGGATTCTCAAAGACAAACTCAACCTCTGACTGTCTCTATCAAGCTGGAAAGGACTGGTGACTTTGTCTTAACCCAGCCCTACCTAAGAAAAACTTATGACCCCATAGACATTGAGTGAAGAAATTTTTGGCCATAACAAATTTCAGATACCATCTACTAAGGCTTAAGAAGTTGCAGTCTGTATCAATGGAGGGGCTACCTCACGACTGAACTCATGTATTACTTATGTCTCCTATTTATCCTCACCACCTTCCTCTGGATTGACTGTCATTGGTCAATGTGCCTCCTAAAACATGGTGCTCAGGATGAGAAACATTTTAACCTGTCAATTTGTGAAAAAAAAAAGTATCTGAGGTACCGAGAAAAGGAGACAGTATGGGCAAGAGGGAAGTCAGAGAACCTGGGGTGAAATCCTGGCTCTGATACTTACAACCTGGGTGACTTTGGACAAGTCAGTTCCCATACCTGGGCCTCAGTTTCTTCATCTGTAAAATGGATGGGGTTGGACTAGATGATCTTGAAGGTTTCTTCCAACTCTAAATCTATTAACCTCAAATAAAGGCAAAAAAATATTAAAAATATAAATCATGGTTTAGGTAGAAGACAGTTCCTTCAATATGGGACTATTTATTCATTCAGTCACCAAATAACACAGTAGCTGGCACATAGAGTGTAATGTTTTGTCTGTCTATCTAAATGTTGAGGACCCACTATGTGTTAACAGAGGCACTATGCTCAACCTAGGCCACACTACCATTCTCTCCCACTTAGAACAGCAGCAACAATAAAAAGACACCAAAGTAATGCCATCGGTGGAGTAGGGAAGACCTGAGTTTGAATTAGCCCTCAGTTACTAGATGGGTAACCCTGAGCATGTTTCTCTGTCTGCCTCAGCTTTGCTCATCTGTAAAATGGGGATAATAATGGCACCTACTTCCCCGGTTTCTTATGAGGCTCAAAGAAGATATCATTTGAAAAGCATTTTGTAAACCATAAAGGACTACCTGGATGCTATGCATTATTTTTTTTAAAGGATCAAAGAGATTTTACGTTTTCTTGAGTATAAGCAGCGTATGAAATGTTTTATTTGGGCTTCATCTGATTTATTGAATTCCCTTTTTTTTAAAATACAGATTTTATGACAAAAAGTACAAAGTATTCTTGAAGCTTGTTGAACACCAGAAGGAATACGCAGCCATCATGAATGAAGACATCTGAGCTGTGCTCGGTTTGGCCAGAAAGGCTCAGTTCTGGGCTCTGGTCACTCTCTCTACTTGTATAACTTGTGATGGGGTAAGAACACTCCTGTATCATCTTAAATAAAGAAGCCTGAGACGTGGAAAGCTGGAAGTGGAGTCTTCTATTTAAAAGTCCTTGGCATTTCTCCACTAACTGGGTATGGGTTACACAAGATGGCCACTGAGAGGGGCAGCTAGGTGACACAGTGGATAGAGCACCAACTCTGGAGTCAGGAGGACTTGAGTTCAAGTCTGGCCTCAGACACAAAACACTTATTAGCTATGTGACCCTGGGCAAGTCACTTAACCCCAACTGCCTCACCAAAAAAAAAAAAAAAGATGGTCACTGAGGCTTCTCCTACCTCTGCAAATCTCTGATGTGGTCTTGGGTGATGATTTTATACAAAGCACTTCATCCGAGTGAGCAGGAATGAAAAGCAATCCTTATAGATATATCAGGCAGCTGAACACAAAGGGCTGGGTTGTTTGTTTGTTTGTTTTTTTAAAGCGAGGCAATTGGGGTTAAGTGACCTGCCCAAAGTCACACAGCTAGGAAATATTGTGTGTCTGAGTTCGGATTTGAACTCAGGTCCTCCTGACTCCAGGGCCGGTACTCTATCCACTCTATCCACATTCTCTCTTCCTTCCCTCCCTCAGGCGGGCACGGAGTCTTTAAATCCAGAACAAGGTCTCAGTTCTGTTAACACATGAGTAAGAGTCAGAAAAAGCCCAAGAAGAAGGGGCTTGGTTTGGGGGCTGGGGGGAGAAGAAGGGCATCAGGAAAGGACTGATAACCATCTTAAAGGAGCCAAAAACCACCCTGTTGAAGTGGGGTTAGATGGGCTCCCCTTGTCTCCAGAGGGCTGAACTAGGAACAATGGGTGGGGAGTTAAGCTTAATGCCTGAAAGAATTTTCCCACGAGGAGAGCTCTTCAAAGTTGGAATGAGACACCATGAGAACAGATAGTTTCTCCTTCACCAAGGGACCCCAGGTACACCCGGGTGATCACTAGTTGGTTATGCTTTAGAGAGCATTCTTAGTCAGCTGCAAGAGAGAGCCTCTGGGGGCCCTTCCAACTCTGAGATTCTGTGATTCTGTCCCAATTAATCTGATCCCATGTTTACCAAAGAGGTTGAATTCTATAAACAGCTAGTGGAGCGTGCAGAGGAGGGCCAGAAATATCTCTCCTGATTCAGGAGGAGTCATTCCTTCAGTTAGTGTGCACTCATTAAGCACCTACTATGTGCCAAGCAATGGACTAAAAGATGGGACTGCAACGAAAGGCAAAAGAGAGTCTCTGCTCTCCAGGAGCTCACAGTCTAAGGAAAGAGGGAAATAAAGATGAACACACCCTAAATCAGAGCAGAGTGAAAAACTGGATCCGATGGAGGAGGAGGCAAGATAGGGTGACTGCCACAGCTACCTGACGATATCCTTTGTGTGGAGGATAGACCCACTGTACCTAAGTGAAAGAATAGAAAATCTTAAATAGCCTAGAGACATACCACCCCGGGAAGTCATAAGGATTGTAAAGGTCCCTAGAGGGAGGGTCAATGCCCACCAAAAAAGTAAAGTGATTTCTTAACTTAGAGTATAAACAAAGCATGTTTACACTTAGTGACTTGTGAGCCTGAATGCTTGTAAGGGGGAATTAACAGCCACCCTTTGTGGAAGTCCCAAACACTGGCAATCACGTAACTCTTGGAGATCCAGAGGTCTCTTTGGATGTGCCAGTAGTGACTGGCCAGCATCAACAGCAGAATCCATTGGAGCCTACAGCAGTGGTCAAGGAATCAGGAAATAAACGAGCAGCAGGGGCAACTAGATAGTGTAATGGGTAGATAGAGGCCTGGGCCCAGAGTCAGGAAGACCCGAGTTCAAATCTGGCTGTGTGACCCTACACAAGCCACTTAACCCTGTTTGCCTCAGCTTCCTTAAGTGTAAAATGGGGGTATAATAATAGCACTCTATCTCCCAGGGTTGTTGTGAGGATCAGATGAGATCGTAATTATAAAGGATTTGGCACAGTGCCTGACGTACAATAAGTGCTATATAAATGTTAGCTATGATCTATCATGATTATCTTGAGAAGGTCATGCCCAGGCTGCTGGGAGGGTATGTTTTGTACCAGCTGTTCTTAATATCCTTTTCTAAAAGTCAACTGAAGTCTGGTTTACTAATTAATTGCCAATGGGAAGCACGACGGTGGGGGCTTGTGAGTGCCAGTACCAATAACGCAGCCCCTCGTGGTTGCGCCTCGTTCACTGAGCAGGGAGAGCAGCCAGTAGTCAGCGGCACCCTCTGGGGACCCCGGTCCGCCAACATGGATGCAGCTTAGGGGAGCGGCCCTAGAAAATGCTATCCAACATAAGACACAGGGCTATTATTAGGTTCCAATAAAACGTTATCTAGGTAAACCATCTAATTCTCCTAGTATCTCTCCCAGTACCTGGCACAGAGTAAATGATTAATAAATGTTGTATTCATGAACGAGCGTGTCGAATGATATTCTTTTAGTTGACTATTAAGGGCATATTCATACTCTTTGATTATGTGAGTCTTCTCCCAACCCTCGTCTCTAAATCTGATATCTGGAGCCAAACACAATGAAGGAGCTAATGGATGAATGAATGATTGACTGAGTGAATGGATAAGTGTATGAATTAAAGAAGCATTTATTCAGTGCTTACTATGGGAGATAAAAATGCGAAAGCAAGACAGTGCCCAATCTCAAGAAGCTTATTCTGATAGGCAAACATACCGCAAATGGGGATGTGGCGGCCAGGGAAGTGTGATGCTGTCAGGGGGTCACAGAAATGATGAGTGGAGTCATAGCATCAATGGTTGGTGTGCACTTTCCAGTAATGGTCAGGTAGACTTAGCTCCTGTTCCCAGAGCTAGGACTGGAAAGGGGTCGGGGGTGATTAGCAGAATCCCAAATATGTCGGGAGATCAACAGCAGTCTGCTGGCGCTGGTTTGAGCTAGTGATGGTGAGCGCTCAGCCGTCAGAATTCCAGGGGCCCGTGACAGTAATGTCCAGTGTAAGACCACGGCATCCAGGTGGTCAGAGAACAGCACCTTTGGGCTTGTCCTGGATGAATAGCTGTCTTTAAAATGTTAGCCTGTTTTTGAAACTCTAATCGACTTCAATGGCTCCTCAACTTTAGAAACATCTGGTGGGTTTCCAGACAGTAGATTTTTACAAATCATTTCTATCTTATGGAAAACCCCTCTTCCCCCTTGGTCTCAGAAATGCCCATTGTTTGCTGTACATCTGCTTTCAGAATCCAGAATATTGCTTCCAGACAAGTCCTATCAAAAGATTCTGAAAAGAGGGCACCAGGAGCAAATGAAAAGCTAATGCAAGGGAAAGAGAAAGGAGGGGAGTGGTGTAGCTTAATTATACTTAAGATGGAACTCCAATTAATTACAGAGGAATCAGAACTGGTTCGTGTCTCCATAAATATGTTTAACTACTGTTGACAACAATAGGAAGGGTTAGACCAGATGACCTCTGAGACTGATAGATTCTATGAGTATCGAGAAAGGGATAGATTTTTATAAAATATTTCTGCCATCCAGAAGATAAAAACCAAATTTCTCCAATTTATACCTTCTTCCCCATCCAAACTTGGTATAAAGAATAGAGGGATATTTATTAACAAAGGGAATGTTTTCCAAATAGCATTAACTTAGCTTTGAAATACATACCCAGTTTTGCCATTATAGAAACAGACCTCCAGATTTATGTAAAGACTATAAATACTGAATGCTTAGAAATGTTTCCTTGTTTATAACTGTTTATACGCCTAAGTCATGTTTTATTCCTTAATGGGAAAATATATTCCCCAGTGTCAAATGGAAGGTTTATGAAAATCAAACATACATGGGAAATGCAAAGTTCTAGCTATTTGTTAATGGCCATTAATGACCTTATGCATGGGCATTGGACCTTGAATAAACATACAGACTATTAGCTTGTTTGAAATGTTAACAGAAGATGACTCATTAATACGTTAATTGCTATCTTGGCTTAAGAATGCCCTGTAAACTAGAGAGAATAAATATCTGGAAAGCTCCTTCTGTGTTCCTCTTAGAGTTATTCAAAGTCATTGAAAAATAGAATCTCTGAGTTGCAGGAGACCTCAGCTGCCATGACATCCTGCGCGTACTGAAGAGTATCCAATGCATTCTACCTGACAATCAGTCACACAGGTAAAAGTTTGGTGACAGACACCTAAAGTGGGTTGAATAATGTGTTCCAAAGGCCAAGAAAGTGGTTGAAGCTTGTGGAACCTTTGGGGCTTGGTCAGACATCAAAGACGCCAAGTTCATCAGCTGAGTCCTGAGCCACCACCAGTATTCCTGACTTTTGTGATGCCACTGGACTTAGATGACTCTGGAAGACAGAGTGAGGATGAGAACTTCATCTCCTGTATTAACCCATTCCTTTCCAGTCACTTCCACTTTAGTTACTTCCAGTTTAGGCCCTCACTACTCCTGCTGCTCTGGATTATTGTCATTTCCTACTAACTCATCTCTTTGCCTCCAATCTCTCTGTACTTCAATCCATTTTTTACACCAAAACCATTTTTTTGGGGCTAGGTGATGGGGTTAAGTGACTTGCCCAAGGTCACACAGCTAGTGTTATGTGTCTGGGGTCGGATTTGAACTCAGGTCTTCCTGAATCCATGGCTGGTGCTCTATCCACTGCGCCACCTCGCTGCCCCCAAAACCATTTTTCATACAACATCTAATCATACTCCTCTCCCGATCAAAAATCTTCAGTGGCTCCTCCTAAACAAAACACAAACTCCTTTGCTTGGCATTCAGTCTTCCATAAACAGGCTATAGTCTAACTTTCCAGCCTTAACCTCTCTCCAGCCAAGTCGGGGTTTTCGCTCTTCCCCAGTTTTGTCCTGTACCTTCTCTTGGTGCATCTGCATAGAGTCTCCTCCCAGGCCAGGAGCAGAGGCCTGGTAGCCCTTCTGCCTATTCAAAGCTCCTTCTCCCTTTAGGGCCCAGCTTGGGTCCCACCCCCACCGCAGCTTCTCTGTTCCTCACATCTAAGGTCATTCCTCTCTGCTCCAGGTGTTTGTTG